AAATGGTTTGAGCAATTTTTTTTTTTAATAGCCTTTATTTGATAATATTGGTTGTAAATAGTTATAAACATAAGAATGTCATGCGTCTATTAATATATCAATAAATTCCTAATATAAAATTCACGTATTATAAACTATTAATAGCTGAAAATCGCTGAAAACGCCAAATAGATTTTTAAAACGTATAAAAGACAATCGATGACGATACAATGAACTATCGTGAAAAGCTGAATTATCTACAAGAATCATAAAAGACGATCAAACTAACTCTTCTGTAATGTCAAGAACAAACGAAAAAAGAAGTTCATTGCCAACTTTAAATATGCAGGTTGTAAAATGCAAACCGTCAAAATACTCAATTGATTTATCGCGGACATTATAATATTCCACTATGGTGGTAATAATATAATGGTTTCCGCACGCATTAGCGTGTTTGACTCTCGGACAAGACAGAGTATTTAAACCATTAGTCGGGCAAAACGAATAAGGAAAGTCAAAGTAAATAACCCTACTAAATTAGCACAAATATATATAAACAACAAACAAAACAAATTAAAGATAAGTTAGCTAAATCATAGTTTTATCGATTTCGATTAAGGAACACAAACTCATTTTTTAATTATCTTATATGAGCCTATACTGAAATAATGCTGTGGGAACTAAAAAAAAAAAACTAATCGGTCACCCACATCAATGCGAATGATCTGCAGTTCTGTTTTAACAGATTACTTATAAGGTTAACTGAAAATTGAAAATGACTTTTATGCTGATTTTTGAAGAAGATATTGCATATATCGTTACTTACATTTTTTAAGAAATATATATTATGTTAAATATATCTTTAAGTTTATAATACAGCAAATTATAAATTGCGAGTAGGGACAGTACTAAAACCATTATCCAATTTTTTACAAAAAAATAATAATACTAATTATTTTATTTGGCAAGTTAGGATTTTTGACTACTCGAAAGAACAGACATTTTTAAGTTGTATTCATATTGACACTTAACGCTTCAAAAGCCCATACAACGGTTAAAAGAGATGGACACAAATAATATAATTCTCAATTGTATTATATTAGATTGATCAAATTATTTATACATTTATATATATATTTACATTTTTATTCATTTAAAAATAATAAATACCAGGTATGATTTATCCAGTCTCAATAAAATTACAGTAAAAAAAAAAAAATGTGCGTTTGTTAGTTCTTTTTCTCAATTTTTAAGAGGAAGGGGTGAATTTTTAGAATTATTTGTCTCATTAAGTACCTTTCTGGTACGATTTCTGATCTATGGAGTTGCTACAAGAATAAATCGGTCCCGCAGTTTAAAAGATATGTTGGGCTCAGGCACAAAAAAAAAATTTATACATATCATTGTAAAAACAATACCTCTCAGCTCCGTACCGTAGCAAAACAAATTGTTAAGTCTACCTATTTAGTATAAATCATTTACATTTTCGATTCTCAGTCTCAGACTCTACTTTGGGTTATTCAAATAGAATGAGACAATGGACTTAGAAGTAAACCAAGGAAAAACTAAGCAAATGTGTACGAGCAGACACTGAGGAATTAGATGTAAAAGTGGAAAAGGAACACACCCTATAAGGAAGACCCCTAATGTAAAACCTAAAAAAATAACGTAATAACACATTTGTCAATTGTAAAAAAATAATATTATGACAGAGAAACGCGGAAAATGTTATGGTAGTAGAAAAAGTAAAGACTAACACTTAAAAACAAATATTAAATGTACGTACCACACTATGCTGTTTTCCTGTCAACCTAACGGCTAACCACTCATCGTTTGATATCGTTCTATATTGTATCAAATCACAAGCAATGAGTAAAATCTGTATATAAATTTCGGGTGGTTTCATCTATTTATGTAAGAGCTACTTAAAAAATTCGTAACTAGGTATGCTACAACGCCATCGCCAAGTTACTTTGCATAACCTTCGTTCATGAGCAAACTTAAAATGTCGTATAGAATTCATTAAAACAAAAATGAGTTTGCATAAAAGAGTTCATAATAATATAGTCATCGAAATATTTAGATAGGTCATAGAAACATAAACATTATTTGTTTGAGATAATGACGTGTGTGAGTGGTCAAAAAAATTAAATAAAAAAACCAAAATGATTTATTAATTTCATTTGTAATATTTCTGGGTTGTAGAAACTAACAGAAAAAACATATTTTATATTTAAAATATTATGCTGTCTAAATAATAGTATAAAAATACGACATTAGTAATATAAGGTAATACAACGATATATTATACTCGCAAAGAATGACTTGTAAATAAGTTTTTAAAATTATTAATTATATATTACTCAATAAAAAGTCTATATATATATTCATTAATGCGTTTTAATTATTTACCTTCGTAATGATAATTTTAAGTATTTAAGTTACGGTGTCTCTACGATTTAAAGTATTGTGTTGTATCATAATTGTTTTATGCGGTAATAAAAATGTACTATTATTATACACCTTTTGCGTCAGGCTATTCGGAAAATTGATAAAAACTTGACAAATGATCCTAGAAGTAAAAATCAATCTAATACTACTTACTAGCTAACCGACAATACTAGCCGTACACCCACTACCGTAAGGCTTGATTATATTTGAACAATAGCACTTGATACTTTACTTCCTAAGGAATTGACCACCACATAATCAGAGGCATAAACATGAAAAGTTTTCCAAATTTGAAATTTAGAATTTTCATGAAACTTAAAAAAAATGTAAGGGATGGTGTTATAAAATTGTTCAATACCAAAAGAAAAAAATGATGACTTAAGCGACAAACAAACACTAATGACTAATGTAATTATGTAATTTTAAATTGTTACTTAAATCTTTAAAAATTTGATCTCAAAAAAAAAAAGCGTTTATCCAAACATTTTCAGTTAAAAAACACACGTATAAGATATTTTAAAACATAGAGTTTGTATTGCATTTTGAAATATCTATCACTTATATCACTTATTATTAATCTTTGTTTTGTGAAAGCATGCAATTTGATCATATAATAATATATACTATTGTCTTTTTAGTATAATATGGCCTACTAATTACTTAAATCGCTCTAAATAGGTTTACAAGTGAATGTTCAGAGAGAGACTTAAACGACCGACCCTAATAAATGTTAATACCAAGACTATACAAAATTGCTGGGACATCGCTGTAATCTAAATACCTTATGATATTCGCACCAATAATAGTACTCGTAAATAATGCCCCCTAATAATTATAAGCCTTTTATTGTAATAATTTCACTACTGGAATTTACAATTATTATTATGAAAAATTCCGCAAGCCGGTTTTAAATTTAATATTTTTAAATATTATTAAAGGTAGAAGACGAGTTTACTTAACCGATTTCTAAGGGCTAAATGTGTACAATAGTCAAGTTAACTAGTCGTGGTTGACTATAGTAGTTTTTCTATGGAATTCAAAAAGTAACAATATATTCAATAAGATACAACAACCTAATTCAACCATAAAGAACCAGTTCGTAAAATAATAAGGCTAAGGGCAACAGTTTTTAATAGTTTTATGGCATAAAATCCTTTTTGGGTCTAAAATTGTATATCATGACGCCTTACTGTTGGACCAAAGTTAAAAGGGTTAGGCCAATCACGTAACAGTATACCTAAGCTGCTCCGAAGCTGACCTTTGCACGGGTCCAATGTGTAGTGTTAACCTGTTAGTTTGTGTTTAATACTGTGTTATATTAGGTTAGGGTAGATTTACTCTTTTGTGTAAATGTCAAATGCCGCTTACTAAATTTAGCTAGATCAGTGCTTAGTACATTTAGGTTAGACTTTTAGGTTTAGTACTGTTTTTTAAGTATCTAATGGAATTTGTGACGTTGAGGAAAATGCCCAAGAATGCATTCTTGTCTAAAGCATAGTGCAGGGTTTGTGCCCGCCGCCCGGTATAGTAAACTCGGTTCACTATACATTGTTGGCCGATAACAATGTAGCTGTATGCTAATAATATCCTAGTGTGCATATGTCTACAATTATTATTTGATTTTCTTTCATAATTTGCGTACAGCAATCGGACTACGACAGGCAAAACGAAGAAGTTGAATAGAGCACGGGCACGGACATTGGATCTCGCAATGAACTTGACTAAGGTTTTTCCTTGGTCTTACGTGTCGGCGGCAATGAACGTGGTAACAAAACGTGTTGGGCGAAATATGCATTACGACAAAATCCGATCGTTTGGCGCACATTAATGGTAATGATTATTATTATTGCGCTACATATTGTGGCGGCGATTAGAAATATATATATAATTGTAACTTGTAGTCCCAATAATGATGATGTTAATGCAACCGGTTGTCCTGCCGGTAGTTTCCGCACTATTGTGTGCGGTGTGTAGCGATTACGATGATTCCCATCGAATCGAGCGATAACAAACAAAACAGATGAGAGGATTAAAATAATAATACTATGAATTATGATGATGATTGTGAATACCGTGTCTGTTCGGTCAGCTCTACTCTTTGTAGGGTACACGTCCAATCCAATTATTTTAACATGATAATTTATTATTATATTGTATAAAACCGGTAAACTCGAGGCTAGGAAAACAATTATGTTTCATTATTAGTATTATTATTATTATTATTATTCGACGTACGACACCGTACGGTTATTAGAGTCTTAGAGGTGCGGATACGTTCTTCGGCGGTTACCCGACTACAATGGTACGGGTGTTAACATAATAATAATAACATGTAAGCTGTACCCGTGTTATTATTTTACTGCTAATTATTATTATAGTCGGTTTGTTTTCCCCAAAAACACGACGGGCAAATGTAATTACCGCGTTTTACCTGGCTGGCAGATCGGCGAAGGTGTCGAAGGTCACTTTGGCCGACTACACGGAATCAAGTAAGTAATGCTATTTCGAAGTGGCGGTGGTTTATTTTGCACCCAACCCGTTCGAAGCGGATTAAAATTGCCAACCGTTTGGCACTATTCGCACACTCTGACACCAAAAGCCGGCTAGAGCACAGGCTGCAGCGGCTGTCCCTCGCAACACGAATACACATTATATAACATAGAAGTTAATCTATTTTTTTATTTTAGTTTTTGTTATTACTTTATTTTTTTCCTTCATAAAGACTTTTGTCGAGAATCGATTGGAGTGTAAGTCCGTCTTCTCAGTTGTTGGAGCTATATATAGTATATAATATCCAAAGAAATTATGCGCGCCAGCTCCGTTTCCGTGTTGTCGGCCATCGCCGTTGTCTTGCTCCTGTCGGTTGTCTGCCCAACAGCATTCGCCAAACCCGCGGATAAAAACAGCAGAGTAGGTAAGTACACGAAAACCCGCAGTGTTGAATATATATAAAAAAAAAAATATTAAAAATTGAAGTAAATTTTAGCATTTAAGAGTATGTTGTTGATTGTTTTTGTAACAAGCATTAGCTCAAATACAATTCAATGTAAACAGTAAAACTTCCAATAATGACATTTTAAATAATCTGTTTGCCAAAAGTATAATATGTATATATATATATATATTATAAATAAACGAACAAATTATTATTTTATAATTTTTATTATGAATGTGCATCCATATCCAGCAAATCAACACTTATAATATTTGATTAAATTAATGAACCTAACATGATAAATTCACGTTAAGTTAGGTAGGTTAGACAAGAACGCCTATATCACGCCTAATCATACGAACATAAAAAAATTAATTTTCGAGAAAAAAAATGTCTTTTTCCAGATAAAATTTGTAATGAACTTGTCGGGAAAATAAATTTATGGTTATTTGTCTAAAGATTTAGATTAGATAAATAAAACATTTATTATTACTTACATTGGAAATCTCCCTACATTTTAAAATAGTAATATTAGTTGTAATTAGAATTCATATTTTACAAACATAAAAAACTGGCCAGTGTTTATTCATTAGCGAACCGTACTTAAAAATATTATTCAGATAATTTTTCCAATACTTTACTGGAGTACTATTGGAATGTTTTTAATGGGTACTTTAAATTAAAATAACATAACAAATATTATACAAACAATATGTACTTTTTTTCTTAAGTCCTTAATAACGAAATGGAAGATGTATTTCATGCTATCAAATGTACATAAATACTTTATTAAAGACCATTACAACATACATCAGATTATATACATCAATACTACATCACATTAGACGGTCCTGAGATGTGTTTGTAATTTGTATATTATAACAGCAGACTTCCTACACGGAAATATATTTTTTTTTATCTAAACACATTATGTTTTAACAAGCCAATAGAAGAACTTCATAATGGCTTGAAAAACATATTTTATTAGTGTTACAAATTTTTGCTAAATTTACCTATATATTTATACTCCTAGTTACATAGAATTTACATATTAATACGTGTATTATTATTATTTTTTTAATATTATTTGTTTTTACCTTTTCTAATTTTGTTGTAATGCTTGCATAAATTACCATACGATAACGATAGCAATAATTGGCGTTTTGGCACCAAACTGCGATGAATCTTCAATGAACCTAATAATAATCGTGATTTATTTAGAAAAATTCATATTACTATATGTCTAGACTCTAATAATAATAAATTTATTCGATGCGGAACTAGAAGATATTGTTTTTACAATGATGTGTTTTTATTTAATTAACATTTTTTTTTGTCTGGACCTACGATTTCTTTTAAGCCACTGTATCTATTTTCTCATGTGTATAGATCAAAAATCGTACCTGAAAGGTACTTTGTTAGGACAAACATTCTAAAAATTCAACCCTACCCTTTTAATATCGGGAAAAACACCAAACAAATTTACATATTTTTCAATTTGAAATTACGGAAAGCTATAACTTTGATTTATAAGGAAAACTCCCCAAAAAAGGAAATATTACATTTTGGCAGCAGTAATTTTTTAAGTTTCTATGTGAATGTGAATCAACAGTCAACAGGTCAACATTTTGTTGTTGATTTTGGTACAGACAACGGCAACGACTTTTTAGGATCAACCCTAGGAGACGATTAGTCTCCACCATAAATAATAAACATACAATTACTAGCAGACGACAATTCACATTTTAAGTGATTTAAAATTATAAAATAAATGTTTAGGTATGTTGTACAAAATAATTTTATGTTTTGTTAAACGAGCTTTTGTAAATTTTAGTGATTTATTTTAACCGTATTTTTACCAAATTATTAAAATAGGAATGTTAATAAATACCATAATGTTAAAAATTTTGAACTTCACAAACAGTATTATTAATTTTTCTACTCAGGACTCATCGTTAGGATAAAGTTAGTAATTCCTTAATGAATATTTAACAAATAACAACACATATAAGATACTAAAAATGGAAACCTTATCTGATTGTATTATGTATATTTTTTTTTTACAGCCAAGTACGTTACATTATGCAAGACATCCGACCCCAAAATCGACAAATGTATGATAAACGCCCTAAACGATATTTTGAAGCACGCCAAGACAGGTAGGAATGACAAACAAAAATGTTTTATTGCTTATTTTAACGTTATTTAGGATAATAATTAACCTGGCGAAAACTAAAAGGGTTTGAGTAAAATTTTATTCAAACTAGTTTGTCGTAAGATTTGCCAACTAATCATTTCCGGGTCTGTGTTTGCTTAATTATTTTTTCATTAAATTTATGAAACAGATTCATTCGAAAAGCGTAACGAATAACAATATAGTTTTAATTATACAAGTCGACATATTTTTTTGTACAAAAATCACTCTTAGCCCTTAGAAATTTACCACTTTCATTGCATATATTATTAGAGAGATTTAAATTTTAGGTATACCCGAATTGGGTGTCCCTGCTATCGAGCCTTTCTTGATTCGGGAACTTGACTTGAAGATTTTCCAAGCCCTCGGAACTCAATTGTTCGGTAATCAACAAAATTCTGACAAATTCAGAGCACTCGCCCGCAATATCATAGTCCATCATTCTTCAGAGTTCAAATTACACCATATGAAGTGAGTGACAACACGCACAATTTGTTCGGTGGTCATAACGTCAATATTTATTTTTCATGTTTTCCCAGGATTGACATGAAAAAGAAAGAATTCTTCGCGAACCTTACATTCCCGTTTTTGCAAATAGAAGGCGAATACGATGTAAATTTGATGATGTTCAACTTGCCCATCAAGAGCACAGGACCCGTAAAAATAAATGCCAGTAAGTAGTAAAAACATGTTAATTGTCTTTTGTTTGGAAATTTACAGAAAAAATACATTTTTTTTCTTCTATGTTAACATTAGAGTAACTAATTAAATTTAAGCTTTCTCGCCTAAAATATATTTCAACAACATAATATACAAAATAAATTCAGCCAAAAGAGGTTTTTTATTTTTCAACTAAATTTTATCTTTGGTGTTTTTAAATGCTTCTAAATCATAATAATAGATATTTTTTAAATTAGAAACATACAATTATGCACACTATTTCAATTGATAGCCTAATAACCATTTTATGTTTTTATGGTATTTACCTAATTACAAATATAAATCTACTTAAAAAAACAAATAACATACGGATACGCAATATAATAATATATTATAATTAGAACGGTAATCTATAAAACAATATTAACGTATTTTTTTTTTTAGCCAACATTTTTGTTGAATCCACGCTGATGGGTAAGTTGGTTAACAGGAAGAACGATAAGTATTTGATGTTCGACAATGTAGACATCAAGGTCAACTTTCAAGATTATTCGGTAGTGATTGAAAATCTGTTCAAGAAAGATCAAAATCTGAGTAAGTAAAGCAATTTGCACGCTGTTTATTGTAGATACCTATTCACCGAGAAATTGATTATTTTTAACGGAAAACCTTTTTATTATACTACATTAAGCAATTAAAAAAAATAGTATAATATACCCTTAAGGTTTTAATGGAGATGTTAGTGAAAAATCAAATAACAATTTTTTGAAAATAATTTACGTGTAATTTAAAAAATGTATAATATGTATATATATACATAAAGAAACATATAGGTACGTACTAAAAGTTTTTAAGAACAACTATTATTAAAACTGTTGTTACTATGATTAACAAATATTATTAATATATATTTCTGTTGCGTGGCATTAATGCTACTTTAATCCATTAATCCTACTTTTAATATAACAGTTTAGTTTAGTATTTAGCTAAGGATATTGGCTAATTATTTTTTAAAATAATTAAAATGCCGGAAATTATAATGTAAAATAAGGAAATTTTGAGGGAAACGTTTTTTTTTTCATTGGCTTATGATAAGTAATAAGCTAATAACCATTGTTGTTGAAGTTTAAACAATAAAAAAAAATGGTTAATAAGTAAAAACTGTAGTATTTTTACTTAAACCTAGTAAAAATTAAAGAATTTACAAATAACAAATTTAAAATACATTATTCACAAAAAAACATTTGTTCCCATTGAATACATGAAAACTTTTTAGTAATATCCTATTAATAGTTTAGAAAATCAATTTTAATGAGCATCATATCAATATTAAAGTAGTAATTATACAAATCAATGTTCTTTAGATATTTTTAAATATAATATAAGCATTTAAAGTATCCTAAAAGATACATAGCCAATCCTCAATACTTTTACTCATGAATGACAAGAAGGTCATTGATTTTGGGTTGCATGTATTATAAATTATAAAATATAACTAAAATATGAAAAAATAAACAATATTTTTTTTTCTTTAATAGTTTTTTGGATTCCATAAAACACAACTTCATAATTATAATCCATTATTAAATGTTTGCTAAGTTAAGGGTTTGAACGATCGGTTTTCACATGATTTACTGGTTTTTTTGTTCAGATCGAGCCGTGAACGACATGATAAAAACTCAAAAACACGAACTAAAAAAAATGACTCTGCCAATGATCGAAGAGCTATCAGGCAAAATGTTGCTTAATATGGTCAATCAGATGTTGGGCGGAGTTCCGTTCGATGAGATGTTTATTGTCGATCAGCTGCCAAGTTCGCGTTAAAATAAGATTTTAATAATATTTATCTTTTTCCTTCCTTCTTTTTGTTTTTTTTTTATTGTCTTGCTTGTCCTGTAATTCAAGCGATATAAACGCATACACCATTTAATATACGCGTATATACTTGTTTATGCTTTATTATAATATTATAATGTATTATTATATTATATAAAATATTAAAAAAACCCGTAAGCGACTCGAAATCATTATTACATCATAACACAATACTATTATCAGACTTGCATAATAAGTAAAATTATACTCTGTAAGCGACCATTATACACATAAAAGTTTCTTCAATCTGGAAATAACTGCTCGTAGGTGAAATGCCGGGTTAACTTTTCGACCGTGTCCAAAACGAACTCTTCCAAAACTTTCTGGATGATCGGCCTGAGTTCCATGAAGAACATTATAAAATTGGAATTGATGGCCGAGTTCAGCACGTCTCCTGGAAATCATAATAAATAATAATAATTATCAGCAACAACGCGAGAAACGACCACCTTAAACCGTGACCTTCCGCACTATACGTTTACCGACAACAGCGAATAAATCAAATTATGATTTTTTTTTAAACATATATTATTATAATTTAAAAAATGCGTTATCATCATTACGGCCTAATGGCAGTCACGAATTAAACACATTCATATAATGCGCGCTGATCAAAATAACCTTGACTGTGAACTTGTCTTTATGTACTTATTGTTTGTTTCGTAAAACAAAAATAATTATTTGACGTGTCACTACTTAAATATTACTTGAATTTAAAAAAATGACATGTACATAAAGTTTAGGTTACGGGAATTGACAGATTACAATATATTTAGTATATTTATTACACCTGTACATAATTCCTGGTGGTTCACCTTATATCGACTGAGTTTTTTTTTGTTTTTTTTTTGTTTGATGTTTATAGTATACTTAATAATTTTTTTTGTATGTTAACCATAATTGAAACTTGTCAAACACTTTACAAGATTCGCTATTATTTACTTTTATTTATATATCTTTTATTGTTTTATATACCATTTTTTTTTCCATATTTTGAATCAACAGTAACACTAAGTGCGTTTTTTTATTGGTTCGTTATGATAATAATTACATGTTGGACATAAGCAAAGTATGCTTTACTACTACTTTAAAAATAAAATATGTATTAAAATATGTCGTTTTATAATCACCTAGATTTTTGTCGCCTCCGAACAAATTTCTCAATTCTATTTTGCCCTTGTCTACCATGATCCTAAGAGATATGTTGTTGAAACGTATGTAGTTCGAACCATCGATATCGACGACGTTACCCAACAGGGAAACGTTACATTTGACTCCATCTGCAAACGTTTACATTTATTCGTTAATGTTTTATCATAAACATTGTAATAGAATACATTGAACTTGCAACGTCTGGATGAATAAAAAATAATTTGGTTATTTCAAGTTTTGAATTATTTCTATCGACATATTGTCATAGATTTAATATGACATTATATGACGACTAACATAACCGTATAAAGACCTGAAAGGTTGTACAGATGGTGTTGAGCAAGTGTTTGTGACCGAATAAAATTGATGAAAGGCAAATGAAAGTGTTTAAATGGACGTGTAAAGTGACAAGGTTTTAGACAAGATATATGAAGATCATTGAAACCCTTGAAAGAGTACTCTCAAACATATTCTCGAGAGTATTCTTGAGAAATTTGCATTTAAGGGGATGACGGTTAATTTTAGGGGCAATGAGGAGAGGTAAAAAACAATTTAACAAAACTGGCGTGGGTCGTAGCCATTACGTTCTATTTTTGCTAGAATGTTAGTGAGGTTCTCACAAGACTCTTCACTTTTTGCTGCCCACCCTTCGTAACTGATGTGTTGTGTAGACATTTTTATTATAAAGTTGTGACTTGTGTCATCGTTTCTATATAGATCTACTCACAAATGTCTAGATCGAAATCGCCGTGTCCCTTGATGGCCATCCGTACGATTCTTCCGTCTATGCTATAGTTTCCAAGGACGTGCATGTGAGGAAACCGAACTTGAAACTCATACTTCTGTCGGTCTATGTTGGCTCTTTTATTTATTTTTTTTTAAAAACCATTCTTTAGAATTATATACAATATAAGTACAATGGCATGTGCCAGAAGTTTTGCTCACTTCAGGTAAGATAGAGTAAAGTTACTAGTTCCTGTGACCAACAGGTTTGTTGTTTCAATCTTGATGCCGTGGCCATTTGATGGCATCAAGGTGTTGATGACCATCGGATCCATAGGAGCTACGCCCAACTCGGGTATACCTATGGAAACACGATTATTATCCAAGTGCGATATTCGGTCATGATTTGGGTAATTGTCGGGTGGGGGGAAGGAGTGTCCAAAGTTTGACTAAAAAGTCTGGAATTTATTTTTTTATAATTTAGTAACAGCCAAAAATGGAAGACTCCTTTTTAAAAAAAAAATAAAATAAATATGCTACTAGACTTATAATGCTTTACCCGCGGCTAGTTTTGTCCTCAAAAAGTACGCCGATTCCATAATGCAGTTGGCAATGTCCGGATTGGATCGTCGGCAAACGTGCAAGTAATCCGCTGTTGGTTAAGTTATTAAAAAAAACAAAATAAGTTAGAGACAATATCTATACAATGATGTTTTAGTTGTCATTTTATTCAAGAGCGGAAATGTGTTTTATAACTAATCGTACAAATTACAATTAGTATTTAATGATATTATTTAAAGTTTATGAAATCCCACAATAATGTACCAGCAATATTAAAACCAAAACTTCTCAAGTCCTTATCCAGTAGTTGAAAAAACAACAATTTAAGAACAAAAATTTTCAAAAGGTAATTCTGGTCCAAAGAACAAAATACATTTTCCTATTTTCATTAATAAATGGACCCCGTTTTTCGTTGTTGTTATGTAAAATAAACACAAGTTCATTATTTAAATTGTGTTAAAATTGTTTTAAAAAAATATCTTCGATTAAACAGTTAAACACGGTTTTAGAATAAGAATTAAAATATTTATATTTTTAAACATTTTTCACTTTTTTGTTTGTTTAATATATTGCATTTTTAAATACAATTTGTATTATTTACAAAATGTGATGTTAAATTTAAAAAATGTCTCAGATTTTTCCTAGTACGTCTAGTTACTTATTTAAACACCTCTAATGTCCAAACTTGCAAAACTTACCGTTTTAAGGTATTTTTAGCGTGTTCTTGAACGTTGGACAAATTGCTTAAAATGTGTTTAAACATATTTTGTTTTATTCAGTGTCGTTTAATAGAGATAAGTAAATTAGATTAAAATCATTATATGATATTAAACTAACATCAGAATAACATAACATTAAGGAAGTTAAGTAATTCATTTTGTTTTTATTAAGGAGCCTGGCAAACTATGTGTCCGAAGATTCTCCTAGTACCTCCGAAGGTATCACTTTGGATTTCTAAGAGACATTTTGTGTACTTTTATTAAAACAGTTAATTTGTACTTACGTTTATTTTGCCTTCATGCGATTAAGTGGTTTATGTTTTAGAATCTAACTATTTTCAGTTTTATGGTAACTACCTCAATATTTTATTATACAGAAATAGTCACTAGTACAATATTCTTCTGATAAGAAATAGTCAATAATTCACTAACTTTAATTTATTATTGCTTAGGACTGTTGAGTCTATACTGGCCGAGACGAGTCTATGTAATGGTTTATAATATTAGCATACTTAATGAATTGATTTTAAATTTTTATTAAAAATGACTTATGTTACTTACGCAATGGTTTTAATTCCGAAATGACTGAGTCCGGTCTTAGGAAAATTGTGACAGCTGTAGTGACCAAAATGGAAATCGCCATATTTCCCGGTTATCCCAATCGGAATATCCGGTCAAATAGAGACTTCCGACAAGTCATAAAATTCGCAAAAGTGATTCCCCGTTCATGCTACTAAGGGGCACCATTTGATTACAAGTGCTTTTATATTATTATAAGTACAAAACAACCCATATTTTAAGGTTAAGGACGCTTTTAATTATTGGTCAATTGTATTTATTCGAAACATCATGTATTTAAGTAAGTATTTAGCGCTAACTATAGTAATTAATATCGTTTCGATAGCGTGCAAAAAAAATATGTAATTTTCAGGAAATATTGATCGTTAAGGTCGACGTAAGAAATTATATTTAATTAGCACAATATAAAAAGTGCAATACATAATTGATACAAATTTAATTTATTATAATTATAATTTGGTTTTGCAAAATAACTACAACTCCCCCCCCCCCAGCTTCTTTGCAAGTTTAAAAAATGTTTACCAATATCTCAAATTTGTAAAATCGATTACAAAATCATAGACGCCCCCCCCCTGAAATTTCACCTGCAGATGCCCTTGTATTGTTATACATTATACTATACTTGATATTTTTCAAAGTTTAAAATGTATTGCTTATACTTTAAAAATATATACTGTCTATATTTAATTTTCCACCATTTGGGAAGAAATTTAAACACAATATTGGCAATGTTTAATATGTATTGAATGTCTTTTGAAAAATTATTAATAAAACAAATAAAAAAAAAATTTTGTTGAAAATTATAATACTTATTTAAGTTTTAAATATTTTAATAATAATACTATTTTAAGAGCAAACTAAATACCAAAAATGAAAATGCTTTTTAAAGGTCAATATAAAATTATTGTTTTAGAAAGGTTTTAAGTTTTTTTTTAAAAATAAAATGCTATTAATTAACTATTTTATAACTAATTTTACATTTTTATTAATTTTCCGACGTTTCAAACATGGTATTTAGATATATAAATATGTATTTATTTTTCATAAACAATATATTTCATATATAAAATATTTTTTATGTATCTCAATCTTGATTTTATTAATATTTAATCCCCATAATAGTGAGTTTTATCTCTCTTTTTAAATTGTATATTTTTTTTCACCGTAAATATTGGACATTTTATGTAAAACTATTTGATTGCACTAGAAAAATATGTTATGCAAGTAATAAAATATTGCTTTTTATTGTTTTATAAAATACACACCACTTGTAAATAAGTAATAATAGAAGTTTTGCCATATTAAAAAAGGTGAAATAAATTAATATTTTACTTGTACAGTGTTTTATTTTAAACATCATATAAAAAAAACAAATACTTAAATGCAATGAAATTATTTAAAAAAATAATCATTGGTCACAATAAGAAAAGGAACATAAAAAAATGAAAACAAAATATTATATAAAAAAAAAAAAGAATCGACCGTCGTTAACTTAAACAGATAACACAAATACTCTCGGACATAAATAATAATTAATATTACGTAAAAAAACATTAGCTACATATAGCTGGTATATAAATTAAGTTCGTCGATTGTGTAATATTTTTGTAAGATGCTTGACGTATATTAAATACAATAAGTGGTCTTTTAAAATGAAAACCGTGAGCACCGAGATCACGCATTTGATTGTTTCTGTAATGTTTAATGCGTTCAGATATCGCATGTCTAGACGTACTAAATAAATAAATATGTTATGTATTATGAAATACATATAAAAAAGACATATTATAAATATGCTTGTGTCGTTAAAATTAATATTATGTCACTCGTTGTAGAGCCAACATAGTGTTTCTTTTTTTGGGGGGAAAAACACAGTAATATTAGTCAGTCGGACTCCATGTACCTAAAGGCAAGGGTTGGTGCTATTTATTCGGTGATCCAGTTGTCGTATGGCACTCGGCTAAACAAGTTGTCGATGAACGACTTCATGTTGACCATAAGCTTCTTTTTGATGTGTGGTTTCATTTCCTTGAGTAATTCTTGCGAGTTGGAGTTAATGAACAAATTTAATGCCGCTTCTGTACACAAACAATACAATTACAATTATAATTCCAATGTTTTTTCCATTACATATTATGTCAAGAAACTTTCTAAACTCTCTTCTGAATCGTTTGTTTTTCTTAAAATAAACCATAAAATATGTTAAGAAAATACCAATCACTATTCTTAAATCTTATCAGGCGATTCTCTTCAATTTTGTCCTATCAATAATTATTCTTATCCGTATGATATCTCTTATCATCAACATCTTTAACCTTATTATATCTCTTATAAGCGGTTTCTCTCTTGTTTTCTCGTATTTCGTGTCATTTTGCCGAGGTTGTGATGGCAATAACTAATTCTTTATTAAAAAGCAAAACTATAATTGCGTTCCAACTTACCGAGTACGGCGTTACCGTTGTGGACGTTCTTAATGCCCATTTGAATGTCTTTGACGCTGAAGTCCATTTTCAAGTCTTCTAGCTGCAAAAATTTTCTAGAGTCCCGTTCAACTTCACTGGCTTTGATGTATACTTTGGCTTTGACGCCCTCTGTACGCAAAAACACGAGCGGTAATTATTCATGTGTTTTCAGTATTGAAGAATTATTAAATATATGTATTTTACCGTATTCGCCCCAGTATTCGCCGCCACCGGTAGCTTGGACCATAATGAGAACACCTGAACTCCTGTAATGAGCCGTAGCCGATATCTTTGGGATTGAGAACGTCAGTTGAAATTGCAACGAGTTCAAGTCAGATCTAAAAAATATATATACCATTATTTCTTTTAGTTATGATAATATTGTACCAGATAAATGCGTTGAATAATAGAAGATTACTGAAATGTATTACAGTAAAAATAAATAGACTATAAAAGGGTTTTTCGTCCAAACTTATTATCTCGTTAAGCTAAAAATGTATTAGTTATGGCTGTTTGTACACTAGCTAACGTCTATACTTAAAATGTTATTAATTATCATTTAAACCCTGCTAATTGTTAATTTATCATAGCTATTACTATAGTTTATTGAAGGTGGCGGTTAATTATTCTGTTACCAGCCTTTACTAAGTAACCATCGCCAATATTATTCTAAATAATCAAATTCCTATCATTAGAGTTCAGTGCAAAACATTTAGAATATGCCCAATACGAACGACATTTTATCTTCACACTCGTTAATGATTTTACGGCTAATTTTATATTATCTGTTGGTATTTTATGGGTTTTCTGTATTGGTATATTTTATAAAAGTCAAATTTGATACGCACACCATGTTATGAGCGTTGTTATTTTTTATAACTGTTATATAACGTGGACCGTGCTCATACCTGACTTGGTTGACGGTCAAATTGCTCACACCGTACGCTTGGATGTCTTTGAATGTGGCCCTGTAACCGTCCGGACCAGAACCCAGCGCCAAGTTGATTTCGTCGATCACAGTAGGTTCCACGTCATGGATGCCCAGCTCGGGGATTCCTGCAATCGTTTAGAAAGAAGATCATTACTATTTCAACCACGCATTAATTTGCTAATAATGAGTCAATGTGAAAACGCGCAATTGTCGTGACTTGGATTTTAAATCGTCGAAACGATCACGAGTAATGTCAACCGAGGGCCACAGGACCAGCCATTGGTACCCATAGTAACCTTGGAGAACTTCGACGATACCGATAACCATTATGATATAGCCGTTTCAATGGCTTATGCAATCGCAACGAGTACGTCAAACGCTCCTACATTGTATCCAACTCACGTTATTTCAAATTTAACTGATTTAGCTCAGTGTATTTTTTCGGTTATCTAGTATCTACGACACTGCGGAAGCCTGTTTATCTGTAGGCCACGAATGGGGACAAACCAATATGCGCCCGGTAAATGGAAGTATTAAGTATTTCAAAGACTCGCTGTGTTCGAGTTTCACTTCCTATACTCGCGACCGTCTTCGTTTTCAATAGTTTACCGGGTTCCGTGAAAGTTATCACTTATACATTTTTTTTTCTCAAGTAGCCACACCATTAGTTCACTATTAACCCGTTGTCTATTATAAACTTCATTATGAACTAGCATTATGAACCTATGTCGAGATGATCTGGATACAACACACAATGCCCAAAACGATATCTGTGCACATGTGTACATTTTTTTCTTAAACTCACCTTTTTTAAAATGAGCGGCCAAATTGTTGGCGGCAAACGTCAGACACTCATTGACGTTGGGGCTGGATTTTTGGCACGGGTGAACGTAATAAGCTGTAAAAAGGAAATATATTATAGATGTTGGATAATGTTGATAATAACAATAATAATATCATTATTATCAAGTACCCAAACGGGTTTTGGCTGTGTATGTAATATACAAATTGTCGGACTAATGTCGTATAATAATTTATTATACGCCTGGCACCGGATTAACGTTTCCGCTGTGTTGCTTCTTTCCGGGTGGAAACGACAACCTTGTGTAAACTGAACGGTAATGATAGAGTTCCTGTATTAATTCGAAGTTCTTCGAATTGTTCTACTCGGTATATATTTGTCCGGATCCCGTTAGCTTAGAGATTTCCGCTATAACACGTAGGTAATACATTGCGCAATGTACTTACGTTATATAGGAAGTTAATTACCGACTGGAGCATTTATTACTAATCATCATAACTGTTGTAAAATATGCGCCTTAATGACATTGACGAGAGTTAATGTCTAACTGACAAATCACTACGACCATTTGTTTGCAAGGTATTCATAAGATAACTGCTGCACTTTTTTTTTGGATATTTGAACATAAATAATTCGAATTTATTTGCAAAATATATGAAATCTGAATTCAAGCGAAACTTATGAAACTAATTAATTCATGATTTCGGTTTAATACCGTATAACAGTATAGAAGTATTAGTACTAGTAGATTATGGTAATAATATAAGAATAATTTTGTTTAGAGCAATTATTTACCGATATCATGTTGTTGTCGCCGTGCACCTGATGTAGCCGAGAAACATAAGGTGGCGGCCACCAAGTAAAAGAAGAAATGCATTTCTGTAAAAAAAAAAAATAATAATAGCATTAAAAATGAATACAAAATAAAAATTTATGAAACGACTACATAGATTTAGCAGTATTTAGGATGGATACCATTATGGTACGTACAATATAATCAATAAGCATGTAATATAAAATTTGTATACAAAAATGTGTTATGACTTGATGGGCACACTATTCGTTTTAACAACATGAAAATTCAAAAAGTTGATGGTCTAATGATTAAAGAAAGTAGGAAGAAAATTGATTTGTTCGCATATTTGTTTATAAGAGTTACGAAAGTAATAATGTGGTAGGTACTTTTTAGAAAAATTTTAATTTTAGTGTTATTTTTTTTTACTTTTCCCCATACCATGCATCGTATTTTGATTTTATATGACCTTATAGATATGACCACACGAGAAAATAATGATTCAAGTATCACATGGAGTTAATGATGTTCTTTAAACATCGCCGATTTTTGTATTGATCAAATTCATACTGCATATGTATAATAATAGATACGAGTTATTAAAAAAACGAATTAAAAAATGCATAACTGTTTTTTTTATTGTTAACGCATTAATTTCCATTGTGAGATTTGCTAGTTGTAAAAACTCATTTGCAATCCATCATCACTATATATTTTAATTTATTTTATAAATAACCTATCACGACATAAAAAAGATTAACCCTTTGTATGCAAATATTTATAGACGAGTCACCTAACGTGGTCAGTCGTTTTTTTTGTCTCACAATTTTTTTAGGACATTCTCAGTATTAATAAAAATATTTGTTTCTAACAAATCCGTGCGTTCGCATTTTATGTTGTCAGACCACTTAATGTAGAAAAATAAAAAAAATATGTAGAACTGACCTAAATACATGGCAAAACCATGACAGAATACTGGTCCTCAAACACGAATTTTGTACTTTAAATACGAAATATATTTCATTGCTAACCCAAAATAAACACTTTGTTTGTAACCATGGTAACTACGGTACTCGAGCGAATGGTAGGTGATGATTAAAGGAACAGGCCGATTCTATGTACCACGATTCTGGGGACGCTATTAAACATTTTCACGATTGGAACTGGATCTGGAACTGGAACTGGGACTAGGACTGGGACTGGGACAGGTACTGGGACCCTTGATTAAGAGGAGTACATAATCAATATAATGTAATGTACATATGTGTAGATCCAAAAAGAGGCCGAGACGGGGTATGCTAAAGCTTTACAATATACAGCTTGGAGTACTGATTTTTTTAAAAATCTTATTTGTTATTATTTTACTCAGCCCTGGCAAACTAAATCCCGGGCAACGCCGGGTCGGGCCAGCTTGCAATTCATAATAACAACATTATAAAGACACTACTGTTATTTTTTAAATATTTGTAATTCAAGATTAGCACAATCGTTTTAACATCATGTGACCAATACAATATCGATATTTGCACGCAAATTAAAATGAAAACGTATACTACTATTACTGAGTTATGATAAATAATTAAAAATTAGATAATTTGTATGTAATTAAGTTTGACTTATTAAAAAATAAACCCCTTTTTTTCTGCTGAGCTCTCGATATATCATAGTATATTATTACATTTTATTTATTTTTACAAATAATTGTTTATAACCCGCTTAACGCTTAGAAACAACCGAATACCTTTAAAATAACATTAAATGTATACAATTAAAAATTTACAAATAAAGAAATTATTTCGATTTTTTCTCAATCCGAGTGGTTTACCTCGGTGAGAAATTAAACTAACTGGAACGCCCGAAGAAAGGAACGGGTTCACTGAACGTCACCAAAAACGAGCCTTAGAATACACCACCCACAAGTCACAACTAAAGCAGCTATTAACGATTACTTTCTCCCATTACTGTATACAGTATACACGCTCAGAATACGATATTTCAAGTGTTAATATTTTTTATTTCAGAACCAGTATTCTGCCATGGTTTTGCGCTCCTACCAGTATTCAGGTCAGTTCTACATATTTTTTTTATTTTACTACATTAAGTGGCCTAACAAGTAACAACATAAAATACAAACGCACGGATTTGTTAGAAACAAAACTTTATTATAAATGAAAGTAGATTTTGTTATTTTATCTACAATATTAACATTAATAACGAAATTGTAGAACTCTCAATTTTCGTATATATGCATTTTTGTTTACAATTAAAAATGTAGTTAGGTATGTTGTTTATTAAGCTCCATTGCCACCATACAGTTTACAAGGAACGTGCACTTATTTGATTTATCTATGCGTTAAAGATGTGATGTATTATAATGTATTATATGTGGACTAGTATATATTTACATGTACTAGTTGAAACGTTGAGGTCATTGTATGTACCGTTATTTGTAGAACTAATATTATGCTGCATAAGACATTAAAATATCGTAGGTCATACGCAGATATTTTTTTACTTTAATGCATAAAAATATTTTACATGTGCTATTTATGCAAATTGTATTTTAACGAGAATCAACGTCCCTGTTTCATGGAAGATGGTTCTAATTTAAAATTGTTTTTAACTCTTTCGTTCCTGGGATTTTCCTGGGAAAAATCAACAATATTTTTACGTATCGGACTGATATTGATCATCAATTTAGCTGTGTCGATTTTTTTTATCATCGATCTATAGTAGAACTTGTGTTTAAAGCTATTTTTGATAATGATAGTACGTTGTTAATATTTTATTCGATTTTTAAAGTTAAATCCTCGTACGAGGATGTCAGTAACGAAAGGGTTAAAAACAAAACCTAACAACGACACGGTTCTGTGGAATGGTATTGTACGAGAAAAGGAAATAGGTACACGGTTTTAAAAATACATTTTTTAAAAAAATCGTTTTACTTACTTACTCGAGTTAGAATCAGGACCTAAGTAATTGAGTTCTGTCTCGTTGCTGTGATGTGTCCGTCAGTTGCCCGTTTGAACTTGACTGCAACCGAGCACGTTCCATGTACTCTTTTTAATAACTCAGCCGATGCGGCGGCTGTCCTGTGTGGGAGATATTCCATAGAATCGGTACCGAGAAGACCGGTTTCTGGTCCGTATTTACTCGTTTGCCCCTTCTCTTCAGACACTAAAATCAATGATTGTACTGTCATCGTCTTCACAGACAGGTACGCCACATCGTAATAATAGGTATAATATAAACCCAACATACTTCGAAAAATAATAATAAAGTCATAATAGCTACGACAAGTATAGGTACATTCGAATACGATTGGTCATTTCAAATATTATATTATTAGGTAGCCATTATAATATTGTGTTGTAATGGTTTTTGCAATAAGAAATTATACCTTTCCTACCCTATCCTACTGCGGCAACACTTTATTGAGAAGATGAAGTCAGTGAACTCTATGTAAGCACTAATATTATGGAGAAAGTAGAGTAAATCTTTGTTAGACATCATGGAAAAACGTTTAAAAACCCTCTGGAAGTAACAAGAGCAAGACGTTTAACAAGACCTTTATCATTGTACAACTGATTATCGATTATAACATTGTACAACAAATTATAACTATATAACTGGACGTTCTTATTTCAAAATTGTATATACATTTTTGATAACACGATAGTATTAATATAATGTAATCTATAAAAACAATGTAAGACCTAGGGGTGGCTTGTAAATAACAGTGGTTAGCATAACCGCATAATTCCTAACAAAAGTCGTCATTTAATACCACACATTTTTATTCATTTTTTTTTTTGTTGACTCATCATATTTTGTAAAATATATAAAAGTAGCTTTGCGATAACTACAGACGGCGCAGTTACCACAGTATTTTAGCTCAGACATAAATGTTATGTATAAAGATCATTCGGCGAGAAAACATTTTTATACGTTAAATTTATCAGCTAACGAATTTTACTATTAACTGAAAGTACCTTTCAGGTACAATTTCTGTTCTATAGACTTATTACATAAGGAAATCGGTTTGTTGGTTTTGGGAATATAGTGAGTCCAGACATACAAATGAAAATATACCATTGTAAAAGCAATATCTTCTGATTAAAGTAACAAATAAAACGTTTACAAAAGATTTACAGATAGACCATAGTATAATGTATGCAGTTAGTACAAGTCAGTTTTTGTAAGTAGGTAATACATATTTTAAATACACTTGTTTTCTTTACTAGTTAACTTCACACATAACTTATAATACAAAATGACTTAAAATATATTATTGCTTATAACATACACTATTTTTATTAAATTTATCTCAATTTTTGTAAGCTGTAGTTTTTGTTGTAAGTCGCATTGCGAAAGTAAACAAAATAGATACTTTAAGGTCAATTAGTATGAAATATTGTTAATAATAACATTGTTATTGTAGTTTGATGTTTATTTGCATTATAACTCGATGCGGTGGAAGGACGCCAAATTAAGTCGTCGTTGATTTCCGGTAAATGGTAAAAACCATAGTACATACTAAAAATATAGTAATATATTAATAATGAAATAGACTGTTCCAGTATTTTGAATTCACGATGAAATCTTGGTAAATTATATTAATTTTAAAGCATCACAGAAAGGGAATGGTTGCAAAAAGAGAAACGTCAGTCTACAATGACCTGTGAGTTAAATTTTAACGGGTTTTTCACTATTAAATGGCTCGAAAATATAATTTAAGTCGAGGTCCGGTCGTTTTTAGAATAAAATTGTAATCCAAGATCAGATAAGCCCCTAACTGACATTTTTTACCATATAATTTAATCGTTTAGTCGATAGTGGTTTTCTTAAGATGTTGTACGCACCACTAATTTATATGACTACCAAGTAGCTTTACATACTTTCCATTTTTTTTTGCAGTTGTTATTATCTATTCCATTAATTATAATGGTTTTCTCTCATGCTATTGTTAAAATTACTTTCCAGCGTTTATTTTTCGATTTAGTCTAACAAAGTTATAAAAGTTGAAACTTCATTTAAAATAAAACATTTGTCGGAACAGTCAGCGAACACGCACACAAAGTCTTTTTGGCAGTATAAATATTCATTGAATTTATTGTTTACATTATATGTATTATTAGCGTAAAGTTTATATGTGTTTAATTATTATCGGTTTGTCATAGCTGATCCTGAAGCTAACTGAATATATTAGGAATCGCTCTTGAACTTCATCCGATGACTGTTAACAGTCAAACCGCTTAAGGTCATAGTATAAGCAATAATACAATGTACGAGCTACTTAAAAAAAGGTAAATAAGTAACAAAAAATTGTTTTATTCAACGTTGTCCATTAAAACTATACTTCAAAAGGTTAGTAATAGTAATAAATAATTTACAACGTATGCCAAATTTCTTAATTCTTGACAATTTTTATTTTTTTTAACGTCAAGACTAATAAATATATACCTTATACATATATAATATGTTTACTTTGCCAATACAAACGAATCGTACCTTGTTCTTTTATTTTTCACAATACGGTGCGATGTGTCTTACGGGCTCATGCGGTTAAAGTTATGCGTTTAAATGTACTCATGAGAAGAAGAATGTAAACACACAAGTTCAAGGTCCCCCGCGGTATTGTATTTAACATAATGATCGTTCGTCAAAAGAAACCTGCCGACAAGACACAACAATACGCGTCGATCGACAAGTTCGCTCATCGTATATTGTATAACATTTATTGTGTTTTGTTATCAGCTAGTGAGAAGTTAAATAGAATAATAAGTTATTCGAACGATTAGTTTTTGTACTTAAACCCCAATAATGACGGTCATATATTTTATTCAAAGTTGTAAACACATCAATCGTTATACAGCAAAATAATTTAAATATTTTCAAACACTTCTTCGATATTTTTTAATTTATGCTATACCTAATAATTTTTTGGTACGAAATTTAATGTTTAAAAAATTTTATTTACAATATATTGTTTAAATAGTAGCATACGACGAGTTTCGTTGTGTTTTTTTTTTTAAGTAACACCTAATAATAAAAACAGTACCTAATAGGAAGGAAGCCATTGTTGTCACAAGACACAAAGAATGTCAATATTACAGTCCTTGAAACCCCAGGATTTAAAGATTCAAGACAATGATAAGTCGCTAAGCATTTACAAAAACATCTTTACCCATATATATATATTACTTTAAACGCGTTTATGAGTAACAATGGACTTTTAAAATAGGAAATCAATACTCTTTGGGATAAAGTTCGTTTAGGTTATTTGTAAGTAAATAACATTTTCTATATGCCAAACATCATTATACCTTAATAATTTAAATATATATTTAAAACATTTTGAAAATATTATTTTTTTACTATTTGGGGCCTCAATATGCACACTAGAAATTTGACGATTATGTAATGTTTTTTAGACTTGACTTTATTAACATAACACTAATTTGGCCAAAAATGTTACAAAACCAAACCATTAATGTGTTGTTAAAAGTTAATACAATTTAAAAGTTATAAACAAGTCTGGTCAACTTAACGTTTTCCATAATTGGTGTGTCACTTTGTGTGATTAATTAAAAAAAACTCATCACACATTGGTAATTGTTTTTAAATTCTCAGGTGCGTATGACACTGGAGAACACTATGCGGACAGGTATGTGATTGCGGTACAAGATACGATAAGTCTAAAACAAATTACAAGCTTTCTTTGTCTGTTTTAAGCGGATTCTACATCGTTCACTACAAAAGACTGTTACTGTGGTGAGGCAATTTTTTTTTAATTTATTCAAATATCAAATTGAACGTTGAAGGTCGTCATTTTGATTTGTATAACTCAGTCTGGGTGTCGATCCTTGGGAAACCGTCCAACTCGATTCCAATTTTGAATCCTTAATCACTATGTTTAATAATTACCCGCATATTAATGTTACGCATATCAAAATCGCCAGTAATCAGCGGATAAAGAGATTTTTTAAATTTGTCCCATGTAAATAAGATGTACAACGGAACGTGTCTATGGTATATAACTCAAGTTAAAACGGTTTCCTTATTTTTTGAAATACTACGGTTTTAAATTATGACATATTTTAAATTTTGGGTGAAACGAGTGGTCGTCAACAAACCGAATGAAGTAGCACGCCGAAGGTCGCCCATGTACGCAAAGAGTCTCTCATTTACAACTTGAAGAGTATCGCAATTTTAGCAGTCTAAAAATATGTATGCAAATATATCTAAATATGAAAAATAAAACTCCAAAGTATTTAGAAAAATAACGAAACATGCAAAACAAGAATTTGTTAAAATATTCAAATCTGTGGTCTATATTACTAAGTAAAGCTGGGATATACATATGATATTAGGCATGATTTTATAATTAAAGAATTAATGTTAAATTTATTATCATTAAATTTAACATTAAAGAAATCGGAATATTTAATTAACAAATAACCGGTTCTTCAACTTTTAAAATAAAAAATATGTTTTTTAACATTTATACTATTAAAATAATACCAATAATTAAAATATAGATAACCTATTATTATAAAAGAAATATATTATAAAAATATGTTAACTTTACTGTTCTTCAAACCGCATGAAGACTAAATTGGGCTTTAAAAAAACATTTTAATATTACGTCCCATAGAACCGGAAACGATTATTTCTTTATTTGATCATTGAAATCAAGTCGTCAGACATATAAGTGCCACCATTATTTTTCCATCATATAAAAAAACGATTTCATTTTTTCCGGGTAGTCGAAAGCAAGTCTTATTTATTGTTTTACTCGTGTGTGTATTTTTTGCTTCCCTAGGAATATACATTTTATTTTGCCCGAGTAAACAACATAATAGTATGTAAATTTATATTGTCCAAGGTTGACCAATAATGTTAACAATATTTTATGTTAACAGTTTTGTACAGTTTAAATGAATCTTTTGCGAAACACTAATATTGTATCTACTTTTAATTTATTTTAAATATAGTTGTTTAATGTAGGTTTCTATTGACAAGTTTGCTACGAGAGAACACGGTTTTTTCGCACTCATCTTTATCGATAATATATACAGGGTGTTCTAGCAT